TTGTTTGAAAAACTCTCCCAAGGCCTACTGTGACGTGACTCCTTACAGGGGCTGAGATGATTAATAACTGCATGGATGCTACATAAATAAGCACACCATTAAAAGAGCAGTTTACCCCAAAATAAAATGTTTTATTTTCTTCTGGTGCTATCAAGCCGTTTAAGTTATTTTAGTGCGAGTTGCAAAGTTTTGGAGATATCAGCTGTACAGATTCAAAAAAAAAAAATCAACTTAAGTGTCTCTTCAGAAATCTTGACCCATTTACTTAAAAAGAAAAATATAAACGTTGTTTTGAGCAGTTTCACCTAAAATCTATTTTCTTTCTACTGAACAAGTACTTTTTAAACCTCTTAGTCACCACCTTATCATTGCTTAATCGGTTTTCATTAACAAAATTAGGAACGGTTGAAGTAATCTGATGCCATTTGGAGCTTTATTGTCTTAAATAAAGAGTCTTATGATTGAAAGTTGGCAGAGTTAGGTGGATTACAGTGAGGCACTGCCTTTTTAGTGTGTGTCAGGGTGTGAAATGACTAAAACTCATCAGCCAAATGTCTGTAATGTTGGGAAGTTGGCTTATTTTCCAGGCTATGGCACATGACCAGCCTCAGGTGGAGGTCAAGCTTGTACAAACAGTAAAATTGGCAGTTATTTTTTTTTTTGCCCTCTTACACTTATATAAAGCAACAGCACAACAACAACCGTGTCTAATATTAACACATCTGCAGTTTTCCAGAGTGAGGCTTTTCTCATTAGGTGTTTGTCATTATCGGGGCGGTGTTGTATGGTTAAGTGCGCCTGGATCCACACCTCTGGATCAGTTGTTTTAATACAACTGTTAATCAATGCTGCAGTTTTTTAATTTTGTGCCTCAGGGACTCTGGCTCGTCACGCTTGTGAGAAAATTAAAGTACAGCGCGAGAGCGTCAAGGCAGCGTTCTGTAAACAGCAGCTTGGATCAAAGTGTGTGATTTCTGAACCTGCCCTGTAGTGTGGGCTTATCCTCAAGACGAGACAAAAGCTATTCTGGTTCACTCAAGGCAAAGAAGAAAGATTCCTGTAAGCAGTCATGAGTTCTGTGCTGTATTAAAATATACTTCTTTGTTTTCACTAATATTCAGGAACTAATTTTTTGCAGGAAGAGTGGAGAATACCGTCATGGTCTCAATGCAAGATAGTGTTTGGGCGTGGACTGTCCTGTGTTATTGTTACAGTCAATGCAACTCTTAAACTGATATCTTTAAGTGAGAAGCATTTCGTGCCTGCAGCTTGTTGTTGTTAAGACTCTTCAGAGAGTACAAAATCCAGGTGAAAACCAAGGAAATAACAAACAAACTGATCTTTAACCCCAACCAAAAATGTTTTATTGTCCAAAAAGTTTCACTGCTTCACTCTCGCTGAGTCGACTTAACCTAAATGATTAACTTTATTGACTAATTCTAACCAAGTTTTATTCCCTAAACATTACTGCCTCAACCTGCCTAAGTAGTTCTTAATGCCTATAAACCTAATGCTACAACCACATTAGAGAAAACAGAGACCCTGTATGGGCTCAAATTGTGGTCATAAATATTTTGTACTTCAGGATTTGTATGTGTACAAAGAATTTGTGTGTGGACTTAGCCAAAAAATACGTGTGAAACTCTGCACTCAAGTTTCAAGTTACAAGTAGGAATTTTGACCCTATTTTTCTCCTCCTTTCATCTGATTGGTCAATGTCATGTCAATCACAAATTTAACAATCCAATCAGAGAATAGATGGGTTTGGCTGTCGGAGGGGCGCTTTTTTTTTTTGGAGGTCCTTGAGGAGTAAAAACATGTATCGCTAATTCATAACGAAGAAAGCTTTGTAACTATCCCCACTAGTGAAGACTGTCATTTCCACAGCACTAAAGGAAAACGCTGGGCTGGCATGTAAAAGGGCATTTATTCTGCCATGACCTGATGCTCCATAAATCACCCCTCCAATAGCCAAACCCATCTCTTCTCTGATTGGATTGTTAAATTTGTGATTGACATGACATTGACCAATCAGATGAAAGGAAGGAAAATAGGGTCAAAATTCGTATTTGTAACTTGAAACTTGAAACTTGAGTGCAGTGTTTCACACGTATTTTTTGGCTAAGTCCACACACAAATCTTTTTTTACACACACAAATTATTTTTACACATACAAATCCTGATTTACAAGTACAATATATTTATGACCACAATTTGAGCCCATAACTCTGGCTTCAACCAAAGAAGTGTGACCGTGACCAATAAATTTGCAATCTCGTTGCGTTTGGTTGCTCACAGTCAGTTGCCATCTTTAACCTCCTAAGACCTCAACTCTTCCACGGCATGCATTTTTAATTTGTCTTTGATATTTGGGCATATTGGGACCTGATGAATATAAAAACAAAGAATTTCCAGATTTTTATTATTATTTTTTACCTGATTTTTGTTTCTGACAAAAATGAGATCCACATATGAGGATATTCGTTTAAAATTTCAATAGAACAGTGGCAGTATAATGTCCTCGTCAGTGGATATCAGGCCCTTGTAGAGCAAAATTTAGTATTTTGGTCTAGACAACACAAAATGTGATGTCCACATATGTTGTCACCAGGCCCTAGGAGGTTAAAGCAACTTTGGTCTGTTAAGGTGGTGATAAAATGGCAATTAGAACAAGTCAGTCTGTTTTCACAACTGTAAATCTGTTGGTGTATTCATATATAAAAATTCACATGAACTATTTACATTCAAAATCAAGGCAGAACGTCATCGACTTTAAAAAGAAATTCACAGATTCCTCCATAAGTAGTGACTTGGTTGCTGCAAGATGGCGATTTAAGTAAGTAAGTAAGTAAGTAATACTTTTTTTTATATAGCACCTTTCTAGATAAAAGATCCAAAAGCATAAAACAAAACAGATGACAGTTAACAAAATGCAATTCTAAAAAGATGTGGTTCCTGATAGATGATTTCACAAATGTTGCCAAGGGACCAAGAGCATTTATTATCTTAGCTATGTGTCTATCAGGGGCACATACAAGGATTTCAGCCTTTCCTTCGTTAAGTTGTCAGCCATCCAAACTTTAATGGAATCTAAGCACTCATTCAAAATCTGTAGCTTAGAAACATCTTGGGGCTTAAAGAAATGTATACCTGGATATCGTCTGCGTAGCAGTGGCAGCAAATGTCCTCAAAGGGGCTCAAAACATGCCGGAGGGGAAGTAGATATATTAAGAACAATAAAGGCCCCGAGCCATTGTGGCACACCATAGTACAGGGATGTGGAAGATGACCTGTATTTAGAAACTGCCACAAAAAAGTTACATTCATACAGATATGATGAGAACCACTCTAAAGCAGATCCAGTTACACCAACCCAGTATTTTGGATGATCTGATATCCTCGTGTCGGTGTTGTTCCCACATCATCATAATAAATGTTTTTCCAGGTTCAACATTGCAAGTGACCAATCACATTGTTGTGACGTCCCCCTTTTGTGCCTTTGAAAAATACCGCCTTAAAAAAATCTACTTCACTTGCGAGAAGAGAAACCGCTTCTGTCCGCCGATCCAGGAACTTGAATTCTTTGCATTTCAGGATACTTTCCTTTAATAAACGGTAAGCATTATACATATTGTCCTTACAGAGGCGGTTTCTCTTCTCGCAAGTGAAGTAGATTTTTTGAAGGCGTTTGTTTTTTTCCGAGGTCGCGGATGACGTCAGCAGAAGCTGATTGGTCACTTGCAATGTTGAACCTTGAACAACATTATTTATGATGACGAGGGAACAACACCAACACAAGGATATCAGATCGTCCCAGTATTTTAGCCTTTCAGGTAGGATGCGATGGTCAATGGTGTCAAAGGCTGACATGAGATCCAACATCAGCAGAATTGCAAAGTGGCTCTCAGCTGACTCAGACTGCAACCAGTGGGCAACCAGTGGGTGGAGTCTACTGTTGATCTCTCCTGCAAAGAGATACAATTCAAATGAGTTGGACCCATCAGTGCAGACACTTAGATTGATTTGACCATGTTGGCTCAAAGATGAAGTAATTGGAGTTGGTCTAAACTGGACTTCAAGTATTTAGATGATTTCTACCAGGTGTGATAAATAAATGTGTTCCACTAAAGAAAAAGATCTGGTGTCCACAAACAAACACACGGCTGTTTGTGCAAGTTTTTCACAAACTGCCAGGAGACTATGTTCAAATATATGGAGAAGTTTCGTAAAACAGGAGAGCCCAGCTTAATAAAGATATCAACACTTGGCTGGTACTCATATTTGTCACGGTGAGTGAAGTGAGCCGTGTGGAGATAATGAAGTAGGATCCAAACGCAGGCACTTTTAAAGGTGTGAAGGTGGTTTATTGAAAGTAAAGTACAAAATAGAAGAATGGTAAACTGGACTGCAGACTATCTGAACTGGGAACAACTAAACTACAAAACATGAACCAGTACACGAACATGAAGAAGGATGGGCGGAGGTAAGTGATGACAGACAGCAGGAAGAACACGCGGATGAAATCTGATGGATACACAGACGGACCAGCGACTACAACAACAGAAGACACGACTTAAATATACTCAGAGAAACACAGGGAGATTACACACAGCTGGGAGTAATTAACGAGACGAGACAAGGGAGGTAAAACTGAATACACTCACATGAGACGCAGACCTTCACAATAAAACAGGAAACAAGAGATCACTACACAAGGACGCAGACTAGACACTGAGAGACAGACAGAATATAACACATGGAACTCAATGCTAAACATGAGACACAAATCCTGAAACGCGAATAAACAGAAACATGGAATTCTAATAATAATAATCATCATCATCATCATAGCACCCGAAAAACACAACAATCATTCAAAAATAACCAAAACATCAGAACTCAAAATCCTGGGTCGAACCGACCCAGAACCGTGACAATATTAGTCGGTAAAGCCGTCAGCGGGCCAGAACTTGCACCGCTAAATGTCTTAGCCTCCCATTTTCATACTTGACTTCCTCTCTCTTAAACTCTTATTTTTGCACATAGCTTCAGTTGTGGGATGAAAAGGGAGGTCAAAAAGTAAGACTGAGTGGCAGATGGAAAGGAAATGGATGGGTGAGAAAGAAAGAAGCTATAAAGGACAATGAAGTCGGGGAGAAGGTGTAACGAGTGGTACTAGAGTAGGAAAAGAGATGGACAGAGATATATAGAACAGTAGATCCTGGCTTACTGACAGCCTTATTGGCCGTTAAGTCTCATCTTCATTTTTCTCATGTTATCGTCCCACTCTCCTGTCCTCACAATCGCTCTAGCTCTTCGTGCTTTGAGTCTTTTCTTGTCCTTTCTCTTGTGTTTTCTTCTTTCTTCTTTTTCTCTTCCATCTGCAGTTGTCACATTAATCAGATCCCTCAGTCACATTTCCTCAAGCTTCACGCACTTCATTTACTCAATGCATTCACATAATGAATGGAGCAATCACAGTGCAATCAAGTGCAAGCAACCTCGCTTATTGTTTAACAAGAGACTGCATGCATTTGCTTGTTCTGCAATCCAGATACGACAGTGTTATTATTGCTGTATTCCCCCGAATCTGTAGTTTCAGGAGATGGCCGTATTAATTTTTAAGAGGTTGCGCTTTGGCTTTTAAAGGGCAGGTATTTTTCCAGAAGAAACCTGGGCATATAAAAAGCTGTAGCAAAACTTTAACACAGGACAGTGAGGGGAGTTTTTGTTTGTTTGTTTTAAATATAAATTTTATTTTAAAGATGAGATTCTGCAGTTTTTTCGTGTCACAGAAAACGTCGCTGCAGAAGAAAACAACTTCTTTTAGAAAATAAAAAATTACCAGTTTTTACGCCATGAGTGTTTTGATTTAGCCTTAAAGAGCAATGAAAAATATGTATGTAGGTAAAATGAATGACACTCAGTATACTTTAAAATACTTTATCAAATACTTTTTAAAATAATTTGTGATCCTACTAATACTTTCTGATACAATTTTCTGGGTGACGGTAGTTTTATAGTCCATTTTTATGGGTGCAAGACTGAACACTTTGCCAAAGAGATGCAGAAACACATTTTCACTGTCAAATGAAAGAGATTACATCTGACTTGAGACCAGCATCTATGAGGTGCATATGCCTGATGGATCCCTCTGCATACTGATAAACAGACCAGTTTTCTAAGGCGTGCATGCCCTCTTTACACAGAAAGGGGCCAGACAGCTTTTATTTATTTATTTATTTATTTTACATAAAACTGCTAGTATGCTGGAATCAGTCTAGCATCAGCACTGATTTTGCCTGTACCAGCTGGTGTTTGCATAGTCATTTTTTCCTTACATAGTGCTCTTTAGTCTTTAGACCTAAACTTACCCATTTTACCCATAGCCTGTGAAAAACCTCCAGTTTCACAGGACTTGTGATGCAATCCCAAACAAGAGCTTACTATTTTGTCTTAACCCGTGACTCACAGCCCTCACAGCGGTGTACAAGCACCTTCTCATTCATTCATGGGTATCAAATTGTGCCACTTTTATCAAAGCTGTTGGTGTCATGTGTTGTATGGTGTGGGTGAGTGACACACTCTGGAACAAGGGTTATGGAGCAGACATCGCACTCCTAAATCATCACATGCTCACAGTCGTAAAGTATCTGTTGGCATCACATTCAAAGGCACGGAGGAAGTGTGTGAAATCATACCAGAATGTAACCAGACAGTTGCATCACTCATGAAAGGAAACCTGTTAGGTATCTTTAGCAGGCAAGTTCACATATTCAATAGAATTAAATTTTATTTATAGAGTGCCAAATTATGAGAAAGGTATAGACATTACAATAATACAGAGAAAGCCCCAACAATCAGATGTCCCCATGTGGGCAAGCACTTGGCGACAGTGGGAAGGAAAAACTCCCTTTTAACAGGAACCAACCAACCAGGCTCAGGAAGGGGCGGCTGTCTGCCCTGGCCGGTTGGATGTGAGGGGAAGGAGACAGGATAAAAGACTCTGGAAGAGCGACAAAGATTAAATATTAACCAGTGATTAAATAAATATACACTAAAAGTTTATATTTATTATATTTATTTTCTTACTCTTCTTATATCTTTTTTTTTGTTTGTTTTTTTGTACTGATGTAACTGGAGCCCGTCGTCTCATCTCTCTATATACTGTACTGCAGCGGTCCCCAACCCCCGGCACATGGACCGGTACTGGTCTGTGAGTCGTTTGGTACCGGGACGCAAGAGTTGAGGCTCGGGTGTGAAATGAATGGTTTTCAGGGTTTTTATCGTTATTTTTTTTAGGTTTTTTTAGTTTTTATCGTTAACTCGGTTTCCCTGGGTCTTTTCCCATGTGTTATGAATAAATCGTTTTTATGAACATCGTTTTATTTTGTTGTATTTATCCGCGACACCTTAAAGGCCGGTCCATGAAAATATTGTCGCGCATAAACCGGTCCATGGTGCAAAAAAGTTTGGGGACTGCTGCTGTACTGTATATAGTGGAGATGACAATAAAGTTTACTTTAACTTTGACTCTAAATTCAGAGTAGTGTGTAAGGACAGAGTGAAAAGATGCGAGTGAAGAAGAAATGCTCAGTGCATCATGGGAAGCGCCCAGGTGCCTTAGTCTGTTGTAGAGTAACTAATGCAGGATTCAAGCTCACCTGATGCAACCAGACCTGTATGCTTCATGAAAAAGGACATTTTTAAGTCCAATATTAAAAATAGAGAGGGTTACTGTTCAGGTCTTTATTTTTGGACTTACAGAATCTGCTTATTTGGGTTTTTAGGTCTTCAGATTTCCTCCTAATATTTAGCTTTACATAGTGGCCTACACAGTGAAGAGTGACTTTTAAGTACCGTTAGTTGGCAAATGAATGAAACAGTCTAGCACTCATAAATACTTGGGAAAATGCTGGATCAATTGGGAACCAGAGTGGGCAGAGAAAGCACTTTAACTCTTGATCACAAAGTGCACCAGTGGAGTTGCTGGCAGACAGCAGACTGGTATTCAAAATCTCTCCACAGGATACATGTTAACCGAGTAAAATGTGCTACTGCTAACACAGTCTGACCGTAGAACCAAATGTAATGGATGGAAGTTATTAAAAAATAAATAAATTGTGTGTATGTGTGTGTGTGTCTCTGTGTGTGGTTTTGCATAGTTTAATGTGTCTGCCTCTGCAGAGTGTCAGTGCACAGGACTTTTTAATTTTTTTTAGATATAATTAGCATAAAATTAAATGTGAAAATGTGTGTGGAGTACCAAGTGCTCCTGCGTGCACCAACAGTATTTGTCCAGAGTTGCTGAATAAACTTGAATCTTGAATAAAATGGAATCCAATATCCAGATTTTTCCCAAAATGCACAGTTATTATTGAAATCCAAATCTCTGAGTTAAATGAACTTGATGTGTGTTTACAGTCCAGTGCCACGCAGACTGCCTGTCGTGCTCGGGAACGCCTGATCACTGTGACAGCTGCAGGGACCCACAGGCCTTACTTCATCTCGGCCGCTGCCTATCCGTCTGTCCAGTGGGCTTCTACGCCGAAGGACGAGTATGTGCAGGTAGGACTCGCTTTCAAATCTACAGTACTGTTTCCATCCATTAAAGGGTAAGTAGCACCCAGGTGCTGCTAATCAATGTGCTTGTTTAAGTGATCATCAGCGAGCGTGAACGTCATCACTAAAAGCAGACGTTTGGGCCGTTTGCTGGAATCCTGAAAGCGACATTAATTTAAGTACAGGATGATAAATATTATTGATTTCTGATTAGCTTTAAGTGACACATACTTAGCTTGTATCAGTGGTGCGCTGCACACAGTCACAGTCATCATTTCTGTGTGTTTGTTATCACTGTTTAAGTTTCTTCTTCTTTTATTTTGTTTTACTTTGTGCATGTGGGCGAATATAAAGTTGTGAGTCTGAACTCACATTGTTGATAAGATTATCTCTCCCACTCACTTTCCTTCTTCCTCTCAGACTTCTTTTAATCTTTCTGGGAATCTTTTTTTCCTTTAGCTTTTTATATTTCTACTTCCTCTTCTTCTTCCTTTTCCTCTTCTTCTACTTATGTGTGTCTGTGTGGGTGGCTGTGGTGCTTTCAAAGGGATTTAGCTGCTTTTTTTTCTATAATGTTGAGATTTCCTATTAAAAATAACAGAAACCTCCACATTGCTTTGTTTCCCTTCTTCTCGTTGCTCTTGTTTCATTGTGCCGCTCACAGATACATGGTCTTAATGCATGTTTAATCATCCAGGTAAGGAAATCCCAAAAAGTTGATCTTTTCGTGGTATAGGTACACTTCACTGCTCAAAATTACTGTCAGTGCTAAAGTTAAAGATGTTAAGGAGCTTGAAGTCTTTAATAAGACCATTTTTAGAAAATCATGGCGTAGCCTAATATAGTTATCTCAACAGTACTTTTGCATAGGCTTAGAAGACCCCAGCCAGCCTGTCAGGGAAGTCACTCACTGGATTTAATGAGTTACTTGGTTTCCTTTTAATGAGCTGCACATCCATTTTCCTTTGCTTTCCACTACAGCAGCGAGGACTAAAATGTGACAAGCAGTCTTGCAACTCACGTGTGAAGTGAAAATTTATTTTGGAAGTGACTGACAGCCACTGGTTCCCCTTTCTCCCTTCTCTCCCCTGCAGCCTGCCAATCATCCTGTGCCACCTGTTCCAGCAGGTGGGATTGTCAGTCCTGCGGCTCCAGGCTGCCCCTGCTGAACCCCGATAGGAGTCAGTGCCTGGCTTCCTGTCCACCTGGTTCCTATCAGCACGACCCAACACACTGTCGCTGTGAGTATCACAGGAGTTCATGTGCCCTATAGCGGCTTCTGGATTGCAGTGGTCAGCATGTTGCTTTGACTGGGATCCACCCGTGAACACCAAGAGAGATGGATTTCCCCAGCTGCTAATAGAGAGCAGTTTAACAGTAAGATGCAGTTGGTGTTTTTGGTGCCTGAGATAAACTGTCTGGGAGTATTTTCCACTGGATTGAGTCTGAATATTTCATAGACTGATGAGGCAGGGAGTTCTCTCTAGGGCTGTTGTGTTATTGCGGTTGTGGCTAAGAGTCTGGAAAGAGGTGCAAGTCATTGTCTGGAGGCACAGGAGCACCAAATGTACTCACATATTGTACAGACATAATAGGTCCTGCATTTTATTAGATATCTGCTGATCTTTTGCTGCACATTGGCTAAATCTCCCCTGGGGATTGGATAGAAAAGTTTGTAAAGTTTTGCAGTCTTTAGATAAAAGTACAAAATGTGCTTCCACTCGTATATATTTCTTCCTGTATTTGCTCCTTTCCTTTCTGTTAGTCATCAAAGGAACATGAAGAAAACTGAATCGTGTATGAACATTTATTAGGAAGTGAAATTACTTGAAAATCGTTGCATCTTAGGCTTTAAACTTTTATTGTAATATCAACCCGGTAAAAGCTGAATGTGTTGAATTATGCTGCACATGCTGCCTCCTGTCAATCAGTTAACACACATAAAAGAAAAATGGTAATAACAGCCAAAAAACATATATACATATTAAAACACAACAGTCTTCAGTTCCAAAGTTAATTTCCAATGGTGCATGAGAAAAACTGCACAAAAATGAAGCATAGGACACAACTTTACACATTTGCTCAGCGTTCATTTCCCAGTTTCATTGTGCCAGACTTGACGTTTCAAATGTTTGGCCTGCATCAACCTTCATGTGTGTCATCACCACCTGGTGAACCATCCCACCTTCAGATGAAAACACCTGAACGGCGACATGGAAACAACTAAACAAACCAATTTCATTTCACAAATAAAAAAAGAACTGCACACGTAAAATTGTGAACTCTTTTGAATTTCTGTAAAGCAGAAAAAGTATTTGACCACAAGTTGGGAAAATTAACTGAAGTCTTCTTAAAGCAACAACTTCAAGCAGATATTTCGTGTTGCAGTTCGTGAAACCTCCACAGTGCTTATGCAGTACCTTTGGATAAGTTGTCCTGGTTTGCTGTTGGTTTGATGTTGTTGCTGCTTTGAACTGCTGTACACAGGTGAGCTTTGTTGATGGAAATAAATTTCTGCAGGTGTTTTGCTGCTCTTTCTGTGCTCTTTTTTCACATTTTTGATAAGGGCCTCCCTCCTAGAAACAGTAACAGGACTCCAGAATACCTTCAAATTGTAGAAAGTCTGTCTCACGCTGATCTTAGAAATGCTTTTCCTGCCATCTCCATGCATCTCTAAACTATTCTGAAAGCTGTCAAGATCAAGACGTGGTCTTTCTAAAGAAGACTGACTAGCTAAATGATAAATGCATTTATTTATAGGGTAGGGGCGGCACTACTACTCCCAGTCTCACCTAAATAATGGGAATGCGTGACTTTGTGTGGATTTGAAAAAGCTGTTGTTAGAGGGAACATACTTACTCACGAACTGCGAAGGGAAATGTATTGCTGTTAATTATGAGTAATGACGCTCATTCCAAAGGTCAATAAACTTTTCAGCCCAATTAATACAAATGTCAGAAAAAAACTGATACCGATTCCAACCTGTGACAAGAAAACATTAAGTTTGTGTTTTCTTGCTTATAAACTTCGTGACTTCTTGCCAGCACGGAGATGCTTTGTACAGTTGTTAAACTAAATTACTCCAGCTTTTAATGCCTGAGTTTTAATGGACTTAAAGCTTTTAATGCTAAATTGCTTTTAAAGTCAAAATTAGGTTCTGAATAAACTGGTAACAGAAAAGCTTTTGTCTGTTTTTCTTTTGTTATTCTTAAAGAGTTTATGCAGGATAGATGGATCGATCCTCTGCAGCAGCAGCATAAAGAATACAAATAAACTGGTATTACTCAGGCTCAGTTCTCTATACATGAGTGTCCCTATTAACTGTTACTGGACGTATCTATCTCAAAGGTCTCCCAACATTTCTAGTCCTGGGCCAATAAATAAAACCATGGCTCGGTGAGCGAAAACCCTGTGGGATTGCTAATACGCTCCGAAATGAGCTCCTCTATTGAGTGGAGGAGACCTGCGGGGACTCCTGGGGATGATGGGTAGAAATAGAGAGGTGTGGGTTAGTGAGCAGAGAGTAACCACAATGTGATTACGGTCTTCAGTTGTGCAGCTCGATTTCATACCTTAATGAATATTGTCAGGAGGATTTCAGACCTCCCAGTGCAAAAGCTCGTTGAACATCCTTAAATAGGTTAGACAGCAGCAGGCAGCTTTGTTTTACGCTGCTTCCACACGCGTACTGTATACAGTAGCAGCTATTGGACAAGCCCTCTGTGGGAATTGCACTTCATGCATTTATGCAGCTTCTGTCCTGCGTCGTTGCCATTAGGTGTATAATTTGTAACTCGTGCATTAATCCAGAGTCTACAGTATGTTAATGCTGCAGGTATGTTCACAGCTGCTAATGTCTTTACCCTGCATGCATCCAGGTTTAATAATGTGCTCTATAGAGCCGAATTCTCTCGAGTGTCTCAGCCATGTCTTTTAACCGCCAACTTGCTTTAATGACAGAAGCCCCCCCCCCCTTTGTTTTTACCCAGCACACAGTTTTGTTTTGGAGAACAAAAGAGCGCCAGTGGAAAGTGGGGCGCTGAATTATTGTGACTTTAAATCAGTGAATGCCTGCATTAAAGCTATTAAGGTGGATTTAGGCTGACTGAAGTCTCATACCAGCACTTGTTTAATGAGGAAAAAATAGAAGTAAGGGTTGAGGGAAGAAGCAGAGGAGATGGGAGCTGACAGAAGTAATGAGCGTGTGAGGTGTCTGGAAGGTGCCAGAGACATTTCTTGGCAGGAAGTCGAGACCACCCAGGACTCAGTGTGTCGCAGCAGGCCTCCCTGGGGGGATCTTTTTCCCACCTCCAGTCAGTTACTGAAAGCTTCATCCGCATGCATTCAAAGTTTTGGTGTAAATACTCGTGAGGAGCCTTGTGCTGACGCTATCGTACAACACCTGCCCCACATTTCTTCTTTTTTCTTATAATTGCACCGTGAGACTCAGTCACACTTGTAATGTTCACTTGTTTGGAAACGTACGCCGAGACCGAAAAACAGACACATCTGTCTTGTTCAGGTGCAGAGTACACAAAACCTGATTTCTTTCTCCCCATGGGTTTTTAACACTGTTTTGCGCTCCCTTTAAATTCCTCCTTTATTGCATTGTTTTGAACCTAAATGGGCTCTTCATCAAGTACAACAAAACTGTGTAATAAAGCAAGAATTTTAAGAGGAGCCGATAACAGGGTTGCAAGTCCCAGCGGAGATAAAATCATAACGACATACAGCACTCCTGCAGATGCAATTACAGGAGGTCTCATTCCAAAGCATCAAAACACCATTAGCCTCTAAAGTCACATCTAAAGTTAGAGTCTGGATAAGTTTAAGAGTTAATCCCAAATTGTTAAAACATTTTTAAAAAGTTCAGTGTGTTGCTTTACACCTTTTATTGTGCAGAAAGGGCTATTTCCAGATAATGTAGCACCTACTAGAAAAGCTCCTGGTTCAATCCGAGCACCATCGAGGAGAAGCTGTCTCTTCTCTTCAACTAGACGGACTCAAATTCTGAGCATTTCACAAAATCATTCATCAAATTAATGATTAAAGGTCTGAATCTCAAAGGTCCATGTAGGCAGTACCTCATATGTAAACACGAGCTTTTAGTGTCTAAAAATAACCAAGTACTTCACATATGAAGTATAAACATAATAATGCTGGTGTGACTCTATAGCAACATGATAGTTTAATCAAATTTCTATTGTAGTGTGAAGATGTTTTTTTAATAGTTCATAATTTTTTTGGAAAACAACCTTTTTTTATAACCTTGCTGAAGTTTTAATGCTGGTAAACCAATTTAAATGACCTTTTGTTTTTCATTCTTACACTGACAGTTTTCTTGAGATTAGTGTCACTGCAGACCGATGGGACCCTGGATACAACCTACTCCTACTCCTCTCCTCTAGTGGGCGCTACACAGCCCTGCACGCCAAAATAAGCAGACTTCTTCATTGCACATATAAATATAAATATGCTACATGTGCTGTTATTGTCTGTGTCATGTTGCTTTTGTCCGTCTTGTCTGTTTAGAGGAAAGAAAAGAACATCGCTCAGTTCCTCCTACGTGTGCACGGACTTGGTCAGTAAAGCTGACTCTAATAGATTCTGGTACATTTTTGTAAATGCATGACTTGGTTGTTATTTTTTCTGCATAATCTTCCAACATTTTATGCAGCGATTCGCTTTCTGAGTAGGTTTACGTGGCGTTGCTTTCAGTACCTGCATGACTCTATCGCTCATTAGTAGCAGTCACACAGCATTTTTAACCGCTTATTTAAATTTTGCATTTGAGTTGACTTTGTGGATGTGGCAGTCAGAAAGTGAGGCAGCTATAGAAGCTATAGAAACAATTTCACAGCCTCCCTTCTGCTGTTGTCCAAAACGACCTTCACATAGACGTATAAAAGCTTTTTCATGTGGAGCCATTGTGAGAAACCTGATTTTCCTCCTGTCTTCTTGCTGGGCTGATTTGAACCTTTGCTTCCACCAGGAGAAAAAATAGAGCTAAAAATGACTCCTTAGAAGTGAAATATGGACGCCACGAGGTACTTCATTAAAATTAAAATTTCCATGTAGACTTGGAAAAGAATTTCACAGTAGAATTTTCTTCTGGCTGCTCCCTTTACCTCCATCTCACATATCCCGGCCTGCACATGTCGAAACCATCTCAGCCTGAGCTGTGCATTTCTATACCAGTGACACTCTCAGCATCTTCATCTCTTCCACCTTCAGCTTGGCT